TATAGGCATGCGCCACTATGCCCAGCTTTGCGGGGGGCAGGGGGGGTGTCCCCTGACAGGCCCCCTGAGTGAGACCCCCGCCCAACTGCGAGAAAAAACCCCAACAGACACATTACTTGCAAGAACAGCGATGACAGGAAGCCACCTACCGCCTCGCTCATTCACACCTGCAAGGAGACACATTCTCCGAAAAACCACAAGGCACCTGCTGTACCTTGCTGAGCCTGCCATCGCCCTGCTACCCTCACTCCGTCCTGTTCACCAGGCTCAAGCCCATCACCGAAGAGATCCCAAAATTTTCCACTCTCCAAGCTGACAAGCCCTCCTCTACTTAAACTCTCCGATATAAACTGTGCGTTTGAGCACCGTTCCTATGCCAACGATCTTATCGCCCTTGGCCGACCTGCACCCAGGTCACAATAAACTCCTGCCTCATTGTTTCAGCACAGCCTGCCTCGGTGGTCTCACGCGTGCTGTGGTCAAACCTTACAATTCGTGTTCTTCCATCTCCAATTTCCACACCCTACATAATCCCCACAGCCTCCTGTTTTACATCCTCCAGCAATTTAAATTGTCACCTCCTCCAGGAAGCCTTCAGTGAGTCAGGAGCCTCCTTTGGGGTCCTGGACTGACATCACTTTAGCCACAGTAATACTGTGAGACCCTCAATGGGGTCTGCACTTTACACATGCTTCCAGTAGTGCTCGGGGTACAGAGGGGACCCCTTGTTTCACCCACTCTACAGCTTACGGAGCCTGTTCTATTCACAAGGCTCTGCCAGACAATAAGGATTTAACAATGAGCAAGACCAAGATGTGCCCCCTGCCCTGCTGGAACCCACAGTCTGATTAGGTGATAAAGAATTAGCAACAGCCAGATGTGGTGGTGTACACCTGCTGTAATCCCAGCTCTTCGGAGACTGAGGCCAGCCTGGACTACATAGTGAGCCCTGTCTCAAATAAATAAATAAATAGCAACAGTGATAAATGCTATTGAAGATTTTTAACTATGATGATTTGCAAGTCTTTAGAGGGCAGTAGATGGAGAGGCTGGTAGCCTTATCTGGAAGGGCAGGTGCCCTGGGAAGAACACCAAGGCGGTGTCATTTGACCCAAGACAAGACAATGGACTGTGAAGATTGAGGAGATCATACGCCCACACTGGGAGAGGGAACCACCAGTGCAAAGGCCCTGGGGTGGAAACAAGACTGCTTCATTGGAGGAACACAACTTCCTCCCTTTTTTCACATTTTTTATTAGTATGTTTAAGATACATAATAAATACATTCAGATCTACCTCCTGGACATCACCTAGATCTCAAAGTCATCCCATATTCCCTGCCCAAATAACCTTGATCCTTCTGCACCTTGGCAAATAGTTGTATGCTCTACTCACCTGCAAGGCTAAACCCTGGAAAATTGTCTAGGGGTATAGGTCAGTGGCAGAGTGTTTGCCTAGCATAAGCATGTATATTTCCACATTTCCAGTACAAAATAAATAAATAAATGCTAGGCTTGGTGACATCTACCTGTAGTCCCAGTTACTCAGGAGGCTGAGGCAGGAAAATGATTTGAACCTAGGAGTTCAGGGTCAGCCTGGACAACACAGTGAGATCCCACCTCAAAAGATGACAATATGGGGGAGTGGTGATAATATGGGCCGGGGATTTAGTTCAGTGGTGCCGCTGCCTGCCTTGCAAGTGCAAGGTCCCAAGTTTTGATTCCCGGTACCAAAAAATAAAAATAAAAATTTTGAAAAATAGCAAGGAATAAAAGCTTTTTTTTTTTTTTTTTTTAAGACAAGCTGGTCTTAAACTCCCAATCCTCCTGCCTTAGATTCCCTAGGGCTGGAATTACAGAGATGTGCCACCACACCTGGCTGTGGGGCTTTGTTTGCCATGCTGAAAATGGAACACAGAGCATTTGCTGCACCACTGAGCAACAACCCCAGCCTGGGAGTCAGGTTGAATTTTGGCTTCTTTTGATTTTTGTCTTTGGTGTTTGAGATGGGGTCTCCCTATATAGTTGAGGCTGATCTTGAACTCACTATGTAGCCTAGCCGCCCTCAAAATCATGACGATCCTCCTGCCTCAGCCTCCCAAGTGCTGGAATTATAGGCATGCACCACTGGGAGTTGAGTTTGAGATCTCCCTTTCATATACACCCTGCATCTGCCAACTTTTATCTATAAACAGGTCCCAGATCCATGGTCTCCTGTGGGTTCCCTCCCCACCAACCCATCTCCCAGCTGAGACAACAGCACTTTTTAAACATAAATCAGACACGTCAGTGTTAAAACCCTCTAGAGATGGCTGTCCCCTCCCAATAAGATCCAAGGACTAGCAGCATATGGCAAGAGAACAACTCTCATCCCACAGCTTGAGAGCTGAGGCAGGAGGTTCATTGTGAGTTCCTGCCCAGACTGGGCTACGTAGTGAAACCCTGTCTCAAAAAATAAAGAACACCCCAGTACTGAAAAAAAATAAAGAAAGAAAGAACAACAGCTCTCTGAGGCAGGATTTTGCTGTGTTTCACTGCTGTCTTTTTGTTTCCTGCACAGTGCTGGGCACATAGAATCTTAGCAAAGGCTAAGTTTGTGCTCAGTGGCAGAGCTCCTGGTTCAATCCCAGCCCCACAGAAAATATGCTTGTTATGGGCTGAGTTGTGTCATAAAATTGAAGCTTTGCCTCCCAGTACCTCAGCATGTGACTGTGCTTGGAGAGAGGGTCTTTAAAGAGGAAGTAAAGTTAAAATGAGGTCCATGCCAAGAGTGATGTCATATGCCTGTATTCCCAGCACTTGGGAGGCTGAGGCAGGAGGATTGCCATGAGTCTGAGGGCAGCCTGGGCTACATAGTGAGTTCAAGGCCAACCTGAACTAATATCGAGACCCTGTCTCAAAAAAAGGAGGAGGGCTCATAGTGGGGCATATTGGTCCACCTCTGTAACCCCAGCTACTCAGGAGGCTGAGCCAAGTAGGTTACAAGTTCAAGGCCAGCCTTGGCAATTTAAAAAGATCCTGTCTCACCAAACAGGATCCTGCATGCCTGGAATCCCAGATACTCTGAAGGCTGAACAATTCCAAATTGAGTCCAGCCTGGGCAACTGAGTGATTTAGCAAGACCCTGTCTCAAAAAATAAGATAAAAAGGTGCACACCTATAATCCCAGTGCTCTGAAGGCTGAGGCAGGAAGATCACCATGAGTTCAAGGCCAGCCTGAATTACATACCCAGACCCTGTCAAAACAACAAAAAGATAAAAAGGACTGGAGGTGTGGCAAAGTGGTAGAGTACTAGTATGAGGCCCTAGGTTCCATCCACAATACAAGAAAAACAAAACAGGAGCCAGGCATGGTGCCACAAGCCTGTAATCCCAGGACTCAGAAGGGCAAGACAGGAGGATAGCTGTGAGTTCAAATCCAGCCTTAACTACTCAGCGAGACCCTGTCTCAAAAAACTAAAAAAAGAGAGAGAGGTCCTTACTACTCAGAAGACTAGGGCAGGAAAACTGCAAGTTTGAGCCCCCAGCCTTGGTAATTTAGCAAGATTGTATCTTAAAATAAAATATTGGCTGGGAATGATATTGCATGCCTATAATCCCAGCACTCAGGAGGCTGAGGCAGGAGGATCACTGAGAGTTCAAGGCCAGTCTAGGGCTACATGGTGAATTCATGGCCAGCCTGAACTGCATATTGAGACCCTTGAGACCCTGTCTCAAGAAAATAATAAAATTAAATATTAAAAAGGCTTAGGGGGACCGGGGATTTAGCTCAGTGGTTCCGGCACCTGCCTTGAAAGCACAAGGTCCAGAGTTCGATCCCTGGTACCACAAAAAAAAAAAAAAGGCTTAGGGATAGGACCGGGGAATTAGGTCAGCAGTTCCAGTGCCTGCCTCAAGAATGCAAGGTTCTGAGTTCAATTCCTGGTACCAAAAAGAAAAAAAAAAGGCCTAGGGATGTAGTTCAGTGCAAAGGCCCTGAGTTCAACCCCCAGTACTGGAAACAAACAAGAAAAAAAGACACCAGGGATGCACATGGATAGAAGAAAGACCACATGAAGCCAGTCACAGTGGCACACATCTAATTCTAGAAATCTCAGAGGCTGAGGCAGGAGGATCACAAGTTCCACCTAGCAACTTAGTGAAATCCTGTCTCAAAATAAACAAATTTAAAAAGGGCTGGACAAAGGCTATACTTTCAGGGATCATTTCTACAGTTCCTTACTAGAGAAGTTTCTCTGATTATGTAGAGTACCAAGTAAATTGTTTAAAGCACCCTAAAAAAATAATAAAAAGGGCTGGACATGTAGCTGTGAAGGCCCCAAGTTCAATATCTTCAGTACCCCCAAAAAAAGACAGAGAGAGAGAGAGAGGGAGGGAAGGAGGAAGAAAGGAAGAGGAAGGAGAAGGGGAAGGGAAAGGAGAAAAAGATGGGGAGGGAAGAAAAAGAAGGGAAGGGAGAAAGATGGACCATATGAGGATTCGGCAAAAACACAGCTGGAAATGTAGCTCAGGTGTGGAGTCTAACATGCATGAAGCCCTAGGCTCCATCCACAGCTTGGCAAATAAATAAATGAATACACATTGAGAGCTGCTGGGAGTGGTGGCAAACTCCCCAGCATTCAGGAGGCTGAGGCAGGAGGACGGCAAGTTTGAGGGCAGCCTGAGTTACATAGTGAGTTCAATCCCAACCTGGACTACATAAAAAGAACCTATCTCAAAAAAAAAAAAAAAAAAAAAAAGCCAGATGTGATGGTGCGTACCTGTAATCCCAGCACTCTGGAAGGCTGAAACAGGAGAATTTCGAGTGTGAACCCAGCCTGGGCAATAACAACTTAGTGAGACCCCATCTCAAAATAAAAATAATAGCTGGTGGCCTTAATCCCAGCACTTGGGAGGCTGAGGCAGGAGGATCACCAAGAGTTCACGGTCAGTCTGGGCTACATAGTGATTTCAAGGCCAGCCTAAACTACAAAGCAAGACCCTCTCAAAAAACCAAATACATAAATAAATAAAAAGTGCAGGGGATGTTCAAAAATGAGGGTGGGGGTGGGGTGTTTTTAACATTCGAGCTGCGTGCTGTAGGACAGTTAGGGAGGGTGCAGGGCAGTGAGTCCTGGTGACCCTCGTGTAGGAGCCAGAGGAGAGGTCATCTCAGGGGCCAAGGAGGGGATGGAAGTGTCCAGACTGAGAGCTTGGTTTTCAAGCCGCTCTGATGGCACCTGAGATGGCATTAGACATGAGGGCACCAGAGAGAAGGGGAAGGGGGCATTGGGATTGGGCCGCACAGTCCAGGGGGCGTCCGGCCAGGACAGGGTGAGATGCCTGGAGGGAGGCACACTGAGGACAGAGGGGCCCTGGGGTCTGGAGCTCAGAGGAGAAGTGGACAGGGTTGGGGACCAAGGCACCATCAGTACCAGGGGGGTGGATCCAGTCACCACTGGTTGACCCCAGGCAGTGTGGACAATGCAGACAGAGCACAGGGAACCATGGCTGGGAGCCCTTTGGGTGCCGTCATCAGTGGCAGAGGCTGGTGAGGGCTGGTGGGGACAGTTAGCAGGGAACCCAGCGGATGCCCACGTGACACCAGAGCAGCCTCTGGACCTCCTGGGGCAGGGACTCCCTCTGCCAAGGCAACTGCTTCTGCTGCTGCTGACATTTCACTGGGTCCTGGCTTCAAAGTCTCTGTGGGTGGGGAGGAGAGGGGTGGAGAGGCTGGGAGATGTGGCCAGGAGCCAGAGGGGTGGCCGTCGCAGGAGGATCAGCACGGCTTCCGCAGGACTCTGCAGAGAGGTACCTACACTGATGGTCCACGGCAACAAGGGAGGAGCATGGGGACCCTCAGGTGGCCCAAGGATTGCTCACACTCTGCCCACCCTCCCCAGATGTCCAGCAAGGTGGCCATTGGCAGTGACATCGGCCAGGCCCGTCGGGCCGTGGAGCAGCTTCGGATGGAGGCAGGCATCGAGCGCGTGAAGGTGAGGGCAGACATGGGCGCAGGGGCGGTGAGAGATGGGCACCCCTGGGTGAGGGGGCAGGGGTCCCAGCTAGCTGGCTCGGTCTGCAGGTGTCCAAGGCAGCCACCGACCTGCTACAGTTCTGCACCGAGCAGGCCAAGAGCGACCCTTTCCTTGTGGGCATCCCAGCCGCTACCAACCCCTTCAAGGAGAAGAAGCCCTGCACCATCCTGTGACCCCATGGCAGTGCCACCCATGGCCCCATATCCCAGGGGGCCTCAATAAACACAGCAATTGCTCCTTAGGGGCGCAGCTTGACTGAGCTGAGATGGGAGCACAGGGACGGTGGCCTTGTGGGGGCCCAGCCTCCCTCCCCACCCCAACCAGGGTCATGCACACCCTGAGGCCACAGTGCCACCAGCCCTTCCCCACTCCTCAAGAGTAGCCTGGGCAGATGGCCACTGCCACCACCCTTCAGACACAGATCTGGGGCTCAGTCACAGCCCACACACATGCACAGCCACATGGTAATGTCACACACAGAGAGGCACGGATAGACACAGTGCCCAGGGTCTTCAGCCCCAACCCCACAGCAGTGTCTGTCACATGCACCCAGCCCAGGACACCGTCTTCTGCTCAGTCCCATGCCATACACCCCACGATGTCCCACACAAAGCTCCCCAGGGTGCAGGACCTGTGTGGTGCATCAGGTTTATTCTCCTGAGCTCTCAGCTGGGACAGGGGCATTCATGTCACAACCAAACTGGGGCCCAGGGGTGAGGAGCAGCCCAAGTGGCTCAGAACCACAATGTCACCTCCCCCAGCCACAGGGACCAGCCAAGGGGCCCGCCTAGCCATGGCCAGCACTCCATGTGTCCTGAGCCTGTGGGTCAGGGGCAGAGGCAGCACCAGTAGGGGTCAGGTCCCCCAAGAACAGAGGCCAAGGCTCAGCCCGCCTGCTGGCAGTATAGACCAACATGTACATCCGCATCCATGTGCTCAGGCCTGCAGCCTCCAGACCTCTAGCGACAGGCCCCCGGATGCAGCCACCACCACGTTGCCTTCAGCACAGATCTGGGCAGCAGGGACAAAGGAGTCAGCAGACAGCAGGATGGGCTCTGGAAGGGCAGGACAGGGCGCGGGCAGGGCCTCACCCCATTCAGCACGTTATGGTGGCTGCGAGTGCAGATGGTCCTGGGTGGGTCTGTAGGTACATGCACCTGATGGGGAGCAATGGGCAGAGGTCGGGAGATGTCCCCCGATCGAGGACAGTGGGGAAGTCATGGCGGGCCATTGTCCTCACCCGGATGGTCTTGTCAGTGGACGTGGTGTACAAGGTCCCCAGCGAGTGTTTGATGCCCGTGATCTGAGACTTGTGGCCCACATCAAAGGACTACAGGAGACACAAGTGACAATCAAGGACAGTCCCCCACACAAACACACACACATACCACTCGGGGCAAGGAGAGGATGGGGAGGAGGGCAGGAAAAGAACAGGAGGCACGGGGGGCCCTGCAGACCCGGACAAGCTGGAAGCAGCCATCACGGTTGGCAAAGACGTGCACCAGGCCCTGGTTGTCACCGGCCCAAAGCTGGGGTTCCTGGTAGGACATGCAGAGCAGGTAGGAGTCCAGCTGTGGGAAGGATGTGGACAGAGTGCTCAAGTGAGCGGGGGATGGTAGCTGGGTCTCCTGTCCCTGGGGAGGGGAGGAGAAGGGAAAGGAGGCGCCTACCTGCAGCCTCTGCAGAACGCTGTTGGTGCGGCGGTCGAACACCACCAGGGTGTGGTCCTCACTGCCCGAGATGATGTGTCTGTCGTCGGCCAGCAGTGCCAGCACCGCACTCGAATGCAGCCGCCGGCTCTTCAGCAGAGCTGGGCCCGCTTGGCAGGTGACGTGGGCCAGGGAGGGGGGACATCAGAGCCCCTCAGAGATTCCCAGGCCCTCTTGGAGATCTCAGGCCACTGTGTGCCCTGGCAAACCTCTTGGGTTGCTCAGCCCCCACCCTGCAGCTGACAGTCTCCTGGGCTCCCTCCCAGCTGGATCCAGGATCCCCAGGTCTGGGCTCCTTCCTTCCCTCTGCCACTTCCTCTTCTCCCACCCCAGGCCTGGCTCCAGCTCTTCGTGTTCAAAGGGTACTCAGTGACCCTCCAGTTTCACAAAAGAAGAATGAGTGAATAAACCACAAAAAAGACTTGTGAGTCAGGCAGTCTTTGTTCTAGATATTTTAGGTTTCTTTTGTTTTTGTTTTCACTTTTTGGGGGGTACCGGGGATTGAACTCAGGACCTTGTGCTTGCAAGGCAAGCACCAGAACCACTAAGCTAAATCCCCAGCCCTGTTTTTGCTTTTCTGAGACAGGGTCTTGCTATGTAGTCCAGGCTGGCCTTGAACTCACTATGTAGCCCAGGCTGGCCTCAAACTCATGGCAAGTCTCCTGCTTCAGCCTCCCAAGTGCAGAGATTAAAGACACATACCACTACACATGGCTTGTTCTAGATGATTTATGTAAACTAACTTATTTAATCTGATTTTTTTTCCTGGCATTGGGATAGACCCTGGCATGTGGTAGACCAGAGCTCTACCATTGACCCTCACCCCAGATCTACCAATGTGTTTAGTACCACCCCTGCCATTAATCCCAGGGCTGGTGGTGTTACAAGGATTCGGATCTGGGGATGGACACAGGGCTCCCGCGTGCTTAGTACACGCTGTACCACTGATAGGGAAACAGGCTCCAACTAGCCTGGGGTCACACAGCCAGGAAATGCGGAGCCCAGGTGGTACCCCCAGCCCAGAGCCTACCAGGTCTTCCCTATGCCCACTGCCCCAGTTGCCTGTGTGGCCATGGCACAGCCCAAACCTCTCTCGGGATGAGCAGCTGGCTGGGTGACTTCATCACCTTCCCAGTATGACTCCGAAACCCCAGAACCCGGGGCAGCCCTGTGTTCCCCACCTGGGCCCCAGGACCCCCAGCCCACCTCTGGGGTCGTAGATGGTCACCTTCTTGTCATAGGAGCCAGCCACCAGGATGTCAGGCCGGTAGGAGAGGCACAGCACAGCCGCCTTGCCCCTAGGGACACATGGACCACAGTGCTGGGCCAGTGACCAGGCAGTGCCCTGGCCACCCCACATCCCTGCTAGACTCCCTCGTACTTTATCTCACCGAACTGCTGCCCATCAGCTGCCATGTCCCACAGCTTGACCGTACTGTCCCAAGAGCCAGAGCACACTCGGTAATCCTGGGCTGCCAGTGACCACACCCAGCCCTGCAGGATGAGCATAGCAGTCACATCAGCCCTCTCTTCCCTACCACCCATGGGGGCAAGGCTGGATCCTTCCTGTTTTTGCAGAGGAGGCTCAGAGAGGTCACCAGATTCATCCAAAGCCACACAGCCTTCCTTCCCTACTGTCCACTGTGAAGTACACTGCCATACAACACACAACTCTACCTTTATGTCCCCATCCCACAGATGATGAGACCAAGATTTGGAGGAGGGAGGAAGGCAACTGACCCAATAACCCAGTGCCAGTCCAAACCTGGGGCTCTCTGGCTTCAGAGCCTGGGACATGCACACACACACCCCTCCCCAGGAACATCCCTCATTTCTGCAGGGACTCAGCACCAGTGGTAGTCTTAGGCTGTGTGGAAATGTGATTCAGAGTGCAGCCTCAGTCTAGAGCCATGGCAATACCACCCTGCACTCGCCCGATCTCATCTGATCTCAGAAGCTAAGCAGGGTCGGGCCTGGTTAGTACTTGGATGGGAATACAGCCTCAGCTGGGCGTGGTCGCGCACACCTGTATTCCCAGCACTCAGGAGGCTGAGGCAAGAGGATCTCGTGACTTCAAGGCCAGCCTGGACTACATAGCAAGACCCTGTCTCAAACAAACAAACAACAACAACAACAAAAAAATAGTGCAGCCTCAGCTGGGTGTGGGGACATAGGCCTGTAATCCCAGCACTTGGGAGACTGAGGCAGGAGGATCACAGTGAGTTCGAGGCCAGCCTGGGCTACATAGTGAGACCCTGTCTCAAAAAATAATAATAGGGGCCAGGGATTTAGCTCAGTGGTTCCAGCGCCTGCCTCCCAGGTGCAAGGTCCTGAGTTCAATCCCCAGTACCAAAAAAAATTAACAATAATAATAATACCAATAATAATATGCCCAGAGTATGGGCAGCTGATGAACTTACTCCTTTACTCCTCACCAAAACCTCTGAGAAAGGTACTATAACGTACATATCCTCCCCACCACCACCACCACCACCACCAAGAATCAAACTCAGGACCTTGCACCACTGAGCTAAATCCCCGGCCCTATATCCTCTTTAAATATAAATTTTGAGAGTAAGCCACAGAGAAGTTAAGTCTCTCACCCAAGGTCACACAGCCAGGACATAGCAGAGTAGACATTTGAACCCAGGACCTACTCTGTTGGCCATGTGCCTGGACCACCTTGCTGACTGGTGGAGGTGCCCTTCCACTATCACTTTTTTGCTTGTTTATTTTGAGTCAGGGTCTTGCTATGTAGTCCAAGCTCCCCCTGAATTCACTATGGAGCCCACGCTAGCCTCAAACTTGTGGAGATCCTCCTGCCTCAGCCTCCTGAGTGTTGGGATTACAGGCGTGCACCATCATGCCTGGCTCTCTGCCACTTCTCATGAAAGTGCTGAGAGCTGGTGGTCTCCAAGGGTAGTCTCCTTACTACCCCTCCTGGGCCCCTCGGGGTATAGCTGAGCACTTATGTGCCAAAACCTTCAACACATTCATATTAACACACAGTTCATCTCCACTCATTCTCATCCTCACTGCCCACTGCACAGAAGTGGAAACTGAGGCCCAGAAAAGTCACATCTCACCCAAAGCCACACAACAGTAGCATAGTCAGATGCAAATCTACAGTCTGGCACAAAAGCCCTGGCTCTTGCCAAAAATGTTTGCACACTCCTGTAATCCCATCACTTGGGAGACTGAGGCAGGAGGATCACCATGAGTTTCAGGCCAGCTTGGGCTACATAGCGAGACTGTCTCAAAACAACAACAAAACCCCAGGCTCTTGGCCAGCAGACCCTACCCGCTCCTCCTGCCTCTTCCCTGCCATGGCCCCTCACCTTATGAGTACTGCCCTTCTGGGTGCCCAAGGCCTTGACCAAAACCCGGCTGGGCTCTGCCCCAAGCTGCCGCAGGTCCCACAGGTTGACGTTTCGATCTCGAGAGCCCGAAAGACAGAGTGTCCCACCCTGGGAAAGCAGCAGGAGATGTTGTTGGGGCCCCCAGGGTACCCCTGTGCCTGGCCCCCCACTGAGCCCACCTCACCTGAAGCAGCAGCACTGAGTCAATGGAAGCAAAGTGCCCATCAGCCAGGCAGAAGTATTCAGCTTGGCGCCCATCTTCAGCCCAGTGTGCCAAGTGCTGCTCCAGCTCAATGCAGGCAGTTGGCCAGTCGAAGTCCTCCTCTGTAGGGCACCATGAGCAGGGCCCCTGGTGGGTACCAGCTACCAGGGAGCCCAACCTACACCCAACTTAGATCCCCAAGTGGGCCTGGCATAGTAGCACACGCCTGTCATTCCAGCATTCAGGAGGCTGAGGCAGGAGGATCACTGTGAGTTCGGAGACAGCCTTGGCTACATACTGAGCTCAAGGCCAGCCTGAACTACATAGGAGACCCTGTCTCAGACAACAACGACGACGACAACAACAACAACCAGCTAGATCACTTGCCCCATCCCAAGCATGCCCAGGCTCTAACCTTGGGGCCACCTGACTACCTAGCTCCCAGGCAGGTTAGTAATACTCCTCATCCTTGTTTCCAAAAACTGGGACTTCCACAACCTTCTTCCAGAGGGAAGGGAAAATGAAAAGAATTAGGATGTGCTATATAACAACTCCCTATGAACATAATCATTATGTACTGCAAATGTATTAATAAAAATAAAAATAAAAATGTAGCCAGGCATGGTGGTACATGCCTAAGTAATCCCAGCATTTGGGATTTGTATCCCAATCCTGACCTTGAACTCACAGTGATCCTTCGGCCTCAGGCCAGTGCTGGGATTACAGGCACCACCACGCAGGGCTCCTCTATTTTTTTTCTGAGGCAAGGTCTACTACTGTAGTCCAGACTGGCCCTGAACTCCTGGAGATCCTCCTGCCTCAGCCTCCCAAGTGCTAGAATTCAGACATGCATCACTGCACCTAGCACAAGCATCTATATTTTTCAAGCTTTTGGGGAGAGTCCAACTGCAGGGTACAAATGTCAATACTTTGAGACTCACTGATGCAGGAGCCCCGCCCCTCTGTGGAATCAGTTTCCTGGTTAGGGTAATCAACTATCCAATTTGTTCCTTTTGATAATATCAGGATCAACAATATCAATGCAAGGTCCTTAAACTGTCTTCTTCCCCAGGAACCAATGAATGCGGGAAGGAGTGAACACCACCCCTTGTCTAAGAGGACAGTTTAGACCCAGGGCTTGAAGGTCTGTAGTAGCTGGTATTAAGTATTTCAGCCCCTAAACCTTAGGCTCCTTCAAGGGTTACAGACTCCAGAACAGAGTACCCTGCCCTACCTCTCCTGGGCCAAGGCTGTGGGGGCCAAAGACTTTGACACCACCAGAAACCACCTCAACCTCCAGCCAGAGCCAGAACAACCAAAAAGCCTGCATCAGACTCCGTGCACCTGGCAGCTGGATGCCCCTGCCCCACCACAAGCCTGCCCTGAGCGGGCCTCCCTGGCCCCCACCTTCCACCACTGGGTAAGGCGCGCGAACGCGGCGCTGCGCTCGGAGCCTCCAGGTGACCTGGTCGCGTACAAGGTCGCGCAGTGCGTGGCACACGCGCGACAGGACGTGGAGCACGAGGCCCGCGTCCAGGTAGGCACAGATCTGGAGCAGCAGCTCTGGGGGCAGGCTCAGCAGGCCCGGTGGACCCACAGTCGGGACCCTGGACGCAGTCCTGGGCTCCAGGGCGCCAGGGGCGGCTGCGGGCGTGGACAGCACCGAAGCGCGCGGGGGAGCCAGCCCTGGCTTCAGCGGGCCGAACACGCGGGCCACGTAGGCTTCGGCCTGTGCGTCGGGGTCGGGCTCCGGTTCTGGGCCCGAGTCATCGTCAGAGACGCGGGGATCTTCGCACTGCCCTGGAGGAAGCTCCATGGCGACCGGGTGGGCGCGGCCCGCCCGGCGCAGTCAGCCGCAGGCCTCGCGTCCCGTCTCCTAGGCAGCGCGAGGGCCCTTCCGGCGGGGCCTGATGACGTCAAGGAGCCCACCGGAAGCAAGGGGACAGGGAAATTGGCCTGGGACTGCAAAGTGCGAATTCCTGGTTCCTGCTTTTTAAAACGCGCGCTCTTGTGACCCTGAGGCAGGTCAGTTTTATTTGGAAGACTGTGCTTGCAGGACCTGCAGCTATTTCTTACTTGCCCCAGTGCGTGCAGCCGGCAGCTGAGCTGAGCCTTCCTCAGAACGTTTTTTTCTGGAGACAGTCGCCCTGTGTAGCCCAAGCTGGCTCCAACTCTTAACGTCTGTCTCAGCCTCCCGACTGCTGGGATTACATGCGTGTGCCACTATGTCCGGCAGGTTAGAAATTTTTCCCACCTTTTAAAATTGGTTTTACGAATTAGTTTCATTTTGGCATTCATACGTGCACATAACATACTCTGATCATTCTCACGCACACACACAACCTCCGGGTTGGACTCCGGGTAAGACTGACCTATAATCAAGAATTACCGGGGGCCCGGGATTTAGCTCAGTGGCGCCGCGCCTGCCTTGCAAGCTCAAGGTCCTGAGTTCGATCCCTGGTACTGAAAGAAAAAGAATTTACTGGGTTTGGTGCCACAGACCTGTAATCCTAGCAATAGTTGAGGTAGGTGGATCACCAGGAGTTCGAAGCCAGCCTAAACTACATAGCAAGACCCTGTCTCCAACAAAACAAAGAACCACTTTATTTTCAAACTTGAAAAATTACTTCAGCATATCTGAATTATCTGTATATTAGTCATGGTAATTTATATAGTAATAAACATTTGCCTTTTGTGTTAAAAGAAAAAGTGCTGCAAGGCTTTGTCCGTTCCACCAGTTGAGTGTACTGCCCTTTAATGAGCTGTATGTAGGTCTCAAGATATTATTCCCCTCACATTCACCTTCCCATTTTAAAAGGTAGGAAACAGACTTGGGGTCTCAAGGCTCATTTCCTCCGTCTTTCATTTACTTCCTGTCTGGAGTTCTGTGCATCCCATTTCTAAAGCTTCCAGGTGTCCTATGTCCTTAACTTTAACCCCTACCCACAACCAAATCAAGGACGCAAGAAAACAGAGGCCAAAGGTTTCACAAGAAACTGATCTTTACTCAACAAAGTTCTACACAAGTGGAATTTCACGCCACCTCGGCGCCAATCCCCAGCACAGCACGGTAACAAATGGACAGAGCAGGGAGCCCACAGGGTAAGAGGGTAAAGAAGGAGGGTTGGGGGTAGGACTGCGGATCAAAGCCAGGCTGGTCCACAGCCCTGGGCAGGGAAGAAGGTTGAGAAGCTCAAACTTCGTTGTGCAAAAACCAACTAAAAATAAATTAAAAAATTAAATACCTTTCTTAAAAAAAAAAAAAAAAAGGAAAGAAAACTAGAAGAACCAGGCTCCCCTTCCCTGAAGGTGGCTGGAACCCCCAACTTGCGGAGAGGGGGTTACCAATACCATCAGATAGCAAATCCATGCAGACTCCTAGACCCAGTGGAGGGTGCTTCAGAGAACTGGAATTACCAGAAAGCTAAATGGTATTTTTTTAAAAAAATTTTTAAACAGATGGCTTCTAGAGACCTGCTCAAGTTTGGGGTGGGGGCAGGGACCACTAGCTGAGTTATGGAATGTGCACTAAGTGCCCCTTGCAATAGAGGCAGGCCTGGCCCTGTCTGAGAAGTCACCGGGCCAGGATGGGGCTGAGGTCCAGGCCCTTGGAGTGGCAGATGGAGCAGGTTGAGGGATGCAGGACTCTGGCAGACCCCAAAACACAAGGGCCCCCCCAAGAGTTAAAAGAGCAGGGAAGGGAGAAAAAAGGAAAAAAACATTAAGGGGCCTGCAGTGCCCGGTTATCTGGCCAACTTGGAAAAAACTACACTCCCTTCTCTAGGGGAGCCCCTCCCACCTGGACAGCATCCCCACTGCATCCCAGAAGTTTCTCTGGAATTGTTGTGCCAGTCTTGTGGGGTCTCTGGGCCCACTGGGCACTGTGATAAGCAGGGCGTCCCAGATCCCTCTGGGACAGAAGGGAGACAGGGGTTGCTCCACCACTGCCCTCTTCCCCAAGTCCTCAGCTTACTTCCTGCTGGCAAAGTGTAAGCCTGGGTCCTCTATCACCTTATGTTCAGTGCCCCCGCCCTTAAGGGGGCATTGTGTCTCTGAGGGCACAGAGAGCCCTCCTGCCCTTGACACTACTTTCAGACAGAAAAGAAGGGGCAGGTACTAGCAGCTCCTGGCTTCCAGCTCTCTTCTGAAGAGGATCCCACCCCTGGAGCACGGGGGAGAGACAGGGTGACCTCTGGCCAGTCCCACTGCTGCTCTGGTGGTCCCCATTCTGCTGGCGAGGATGGGACAAGGCCAGGGACATATTAGTTAGCTGAGGCCTCCACGGAGCTGGCAGGAAGTTTGTGGAGCAGGTCCAAAGCGTGCATGTGCTGACAAGGAGGCCCAAGGTGACCGTCTCCCCCCCCCCCCCGCCCCAGTCCTGACAGAGGCCCCCGGAACCCCCCAGCCCTCCCCCATCACTGCCAATTCCAGCAACACAGCGGAAGCTTCTTAGACTCTAGATGCAGGTTACACGGAAGGCCGAACGGTGTAACTCAGGGGTTCACTAATTCTACTGTCTCCATGCAGTCGGGGGAATGGCGGGGCAGTGCCTGCACATGCGTGTGGCCACATGTGTGAACGTGAGAGTGTACGCATCTCTACAAGGACCCCCCTCCCGCCTTCCATCCCCGCCTCACCCGAAGCCGGACTCAGTCGGCCATGTGGATTCCTCCCTCCCTTGTAGCTGACCCATGTGGGCTGCCTGAGATGCCCGTCAGGGGCTTCTGCCCACCACGAAGTCCCACCCCCTCCCTGTGTGTAGGATGAGTATGGGGGCCCCGCCCATCGCCCAAGCACCTGCCAGACAGGCCCAGTAGGGCACGCGGACAGACGCACAGACCGACAGGGAAGGCATCTGGATTTGGGTCCCACTCACTCCTCCCTAACCCCCCTTGACCAGGGCACAGCGACTTCTGGACGCAGCGCGCTCCCTAGCAATCCCTCCAACGATGCAGACAGAAACCTGCTGGGGAGAGGAAGAGTCAGGGCCTGTGTTGGGGTCTTCAGCCCAAACACTGGCCAACCAGCCTCGGCCTGCTCACCTGGCAGTCTCCTCATTCACCTAGACCCCATAAAAGGCTGCCAGCCTCTCCTTGAGCAGTGGCGGGAACTGTTCCGAGAACTGCTGCCAATTCTCCTCCCCCACTTGGTCTTTGAAGCCATGGAGGATCTGCAGGAAGGCAGGGGTGAGGGGTAGGCTGGAGCACAGTGGAGAAGCCAGTCTCACCACCCACAGCCAAACGCTTTGTCCTGTACCCTCTGGGGACCCGATCAGGTCTAGCAGGAGCCTCACCTTATAAAACATGTCCCGAAGGTCATCCTTCGGGCTCACCCAGGAGGCTACAGCATCGCAGAAGAAAATAAAGTCCTGAAACGTGATGGATCCCGTATGACAGACCGCCCAGGCCAGCCCCCAACCTGCCCTCAGAACCCAAGCTGCCCGACCTGCACGACACCCCCAGGGTTGACACCAATCATCATGCAGATGCCCCTGAAAGCTGAGTCCTTCTCCTCATTGTCCCTGATGTTCCTGAGGGATGTGCACCTGCGAGGAGACAGGCAGGTCAGTGGGGGGATGCCAGGTATGTGCATCCACAGGGTGTAGGGGGTAGTGTACACCAAGGGAAGGGTTGGGCCTGCACCCTCAGCCCAACCCCAGCAGGCCCAGGGCAGCACCCACCAAGGCCGGATGAACTGCTGCAGCATGGGTGCCACCTCCTGTGGGCACACGTAGCCTAGGCGGCCGATGGTGATGGCTGGAATGGCAGAGGGACTCGTCAGGCGACCTGCAACCCCGAGTGGCCCCGGGACGGTACGTGGCGCGGCCTCTGGCACAAGGCACCGAGCCTTGCCCCATGGGCCCCAAGGGTATGCCCTGTGGAACCAGCCAGGGCCTCCAAATCTGGCCCAGCCAGGATCTCCCCCCACCCAGCCTGGGTTTCCTCCCAGGTCTCTCCAAGGTCAGCATTTTTCTCAGGGTTCCTCCCAGAAGCCCCATTAAGGTGCTTTAGGAAGCCCTCCCGGGTTCCCCCCGCTCAGCTCAGAACCCCACCTGCAAGAGGCAGGTGAGGGGGGCTGCAACCCAGGCCTGGCACCCACCTGTGTTTTCTAGCAGTGTCTTGGGTGTGTTGGGCCGATTGATGATTTCTACCAGGTTGTTGAGGACCATCTGCACGTAGGGCTGCATCTCAGCCCCTAGGGAACCCACTAATCAGAGCCCTGCACTGCCTGCTGTACCACAGCAGGCCTGCAAGGGTACAGCCCCCACTTACTGACCAGGTGCCATCCAGAGGCTACAACTGCTAAGAAAACAAAGCACCTTCAGCTGCTTCCTAGCCAAAAACCATGACCAGAGACAGACCCACGCCCTCCCAACACCAGAGGCTTCTCTGGAATCACCAGGGCAGACCTGAGGAGACCACACTGCCCAGCCTTCCTCCCTCCCTCGGGAAAAGAGGCCAAAGTCATCCAACCAGAGTCCAATCCAAATAGCCCTCCTGTTAACCTCTTTGGAGAAGCCAATCATAAATGGTCTCTCAGCCATATGACACCACCCCTGAGGAAAAGCCTCAAAGGTGTCCTCTTGGCCCTGGCCAACTGGACGCTCTCCTGAGTCTGTCAGTCAGAGCTAGACTCCCACCTCCAGGTCAGGAACAGATCAATGGCACAGCTGGCCCACTTGCCAGGCACTCACCCATCTGCATGCAGATCTCCCCAATGGCCCAGGTGGCATTGTTGCAAACAGAGATGAACTCAGGGTTCAGGTTGGTGCCCAGGATGGGCATGAATTCAGCTGGTGGGAAGCAAGAAGGGTAGGTAAGCAGGAAGGCCACCATGGGTGAGCTCCTGGAACTGGCTGGGCAGGCCCATCAGACAGTAAGAATACATCCCAGTTGGTCACAGTCCTC